CCAAATGGTGGTAGTGTTGGATCACCTGGAATTATTATTATTCGACCATCATCTATCATGAGTAATAATAATAATAATAATAATACTATCTCTAAGCCTAGTCTTATCACTGGAGGAAAGATAGTCAAAGTATGTACATTTACATGATGTGTATTTATTGTTTGAACTTTCAACTTCTCATATAATTCTCCAGAATGGTAGATTTTTTAAAATGGTTATACTTCTACTGTTATGGTAATAGAGTTATGGATGTATATGTTTGTGTATATATTTATGGTTTCCTAAGTAGAATATTACTGTTACACTTTTATGAATAGTTTTATTGACCAGTAAGTGAGCAAGGTATTGTTTCTATGATCATCATCATCATCATGACAGAAATCTTGAAAATTATATCCTTTTACAACCCTAGAAATGAAAATTCTTGTGTTCACTTAATAATGGGATAGATAGATAGAGAGATACAACGCAGAATTTCGTACGTAAGTACATCAGTTCAGGTTGCCAAGAATTTGAGAGAACACAAATCCAATAATTTGTGTGACGTTTAAATATTTAGGTACCCTTTTGTATGAATGTTTTTTGTTTATCAGTAAACAAATAATAAATACTCTTGGTCTCAACAACCATCGTCCCATCCAGAAGCAGGTTGGTATGATATCAAAAAGGCCTGTGGAAACAGCAGTGATATCTGCTAGGAAGGTAAACCGTAAGGCTAGGATGAAGCCGTCGATTCAGTCGCATCCACCGAACTGATGGATGCTCGAAAACGCATCCCACCTGACTCTGAACATGATGAAGAGCGTAGTCAGCTTAGGCGCAGACTCATCAAAAAGTCTACGTAACGACCGCGAACAGTGGTGGGTGGCGAAAGCAAAAGCGATGGAAAAGGCAGCGGCGATAGGCAACACTAGACAACTTTTCCGACTTATCAAGGAAACTGGTATTAAGAACCCGAATGTGAGTGAGACTATCTCAGAAAAGGATGGTCTTATTATCCATTCTCAATCAAAGAGACTGGACCGATGGGCAGAACACTTTAGGGATCAATTTAACTGGCCTCGAGCCAGTCTTCGGTTGCCCACGATCTCCAGTCATCCGAAATGACAAATCGACTTAAGTCCCCCTAATCTTGAATGAAGTCGAGAAAGCGTTAGGAAATCTGAAGCGTGGGCTAGCTGCAGGTCTTGATAGACTGACCCCTGAGATATTTAAGGATAGTGGTCCAGTTTTAGCAGCTAGGTTGACTGAGATCTTACGTAGAATCTGGGAAGTGGACATAATCCCTTCCGAGTGGTCTCAATCACTGATTGTCCCAATTTATAAGAAAGGACAAAAGTCTTCTTGTGACAATCACAGGGGAATAAGTCTGACTAATATAGTTTCTAAATTGTTAGCCTCCATTATACTTAGACGCCTAAATAGAGCTCGTGAAGAGCAGACTAGAGAAAACCAGGCTGGTTTCAGACCTGGATGTGGATGTATAGACCACATTTTCACACTACGACAGGTCCTGGAACACAGACACATTTAAGCGTCCTACAATAGTTGTCTTCCTGGACCTAAAAGCGGCATCCGACTCTGTTGATCGTGAGGTTTCGTGGTAGTGTCTGTCATTGAAAGGTGTACCAAAGAAGTACATTAACCCTATACAAGCTCTCTACTTGAACACCACTGGTCGAGTGAGAGCTTATGGCGAACTGTCACCGGAATTCTCTACATCAAGTGGTGTCCGTCAGGGCTGTCCGCTTTCCCCATTCTTGTTTAATTTTATCATAGACATGCTGCTAGATATAACATTATCTTCGTCCGACTTTTCAGGAGTAGACCTTCTACCAGGTGGCTCGCTTATTGACTTAGAATATGCCGATGACATTGTCCTACTTGGTGAAGACGCTGACAAAATGCAGAGTCTTCTGACTACCATAAGCAACAATACAGGCATATTCGGGATGCGGTTTTACCCCTCGAAATGAAAAATGTTGCTTCAAGATTGGGTTTCATTGGCAGCTGAACTAGTGATAGGGAGTGAAGTAGTCGAACGTGTAGACCGCTTCACTTTTCTGGAGAGTCTCATCAGTGCTGATGGCCTGGTGACTGACGAAATCTCAGCTCGGATACAGAAGGCTCGATTGGCTTTTGCCCTACCTCCGTCACTTATGG